GGGCAGTGAGAGCTCCCTGCTGCTCTCGTCCATCATGCTGAGGATTTTGAAAGCCCCCTCACTAGTGAAATATTTTTTGGACATCTTGGCTGTATGACAGGCAACTGTGATGGGTACACTGATGGTGGCTCTGTGATGGGTACACTGATTAGGGTACACTGATGACAGATAAACTGATAGACTACACTGGTGGATGTGCTGACAGGTACACTTGGGGTTGCACGACAGGTATACTGATGGGCTGTGCTGACAGGTACGCTGATGGGCTGTGCTGACAGGTATGTGATGAACTGTGCTGACAAGTATGCTGATGGGCTGTACTGATAGGTACACTGACAGCACAGCCCATCAGTGTGTCTGTCATGTAGCCTGACAGGTACGTGATGGGCTGTGCTGACAGGTACGTGATGGGCTGTGCTGACAGGTACGTGATGGTCTGTACTGACAGGTATGTGATGGGCTGTGCTGACAGGTATGTGATGGGCTGTGCTGACAGGTACGTGATGGGCTGTGCTGACAGGTACGTGATGGGCTGTACTGACAGATACCTGATGAGCTGTGCTGATAGGTACGTGTTGGGCTGTGCTGACAGGTACGTGATGGGCTGTGCTGACAGGAATGTGATGGGCTGTGCTGACAGGTATGTGATGGGCTGTGCTGACAGGTACATGATAGGCTGTGCTGACAGGTACGTGATGGGCTGTGCTGACAGGTACGTGATGGGCTGTACTGACAGATAACTGATGGGCTGTGCTGACAGGTACGTGATGGGCTGTGCTGACAGGTACGTGATGGGCTGTACTGACAGGTACATGATGGGCTGTGCTGACAGGTACGTGATGGGCTGTGCTGACAGGTATGTGATTGGCTGTACTGACAGATACCTGATGGGCTGTGCTGACAGGTATGTGATGGGCTATGCTGACAGGTACGTGGTGGGCTCTGCTGACAGGTACGTGATGGGCTGTGCTGACAGGTACGTGATGGGCTGTACTGACAGATACCTGATGGGCTGTGCTGACAGGTACGTGATGGGCTGTACTGACAGGTACATTGATGGGCTGTACTGACCGGTACATTGATGGGATGTACTGACAGGTACACTGACAGGCTGCAGGACAGGTATGCTGATGGGCTAGCGACAGGTATGCTGATAGACTGGTGACATGTACACTGATGGGCTGGCAACAGGTATGATGATGGACTGGCGACAGGTTCACTGATGGTCTGGCAACAGGTATGCTGATGGGCTGGTGACAGGCACACTGATGGGCTGGCCACAGGTACACTGATGGGCCGGTGACAGGTACACTGATGGGCCAGTGACAGGTACACTGATGGGCTGGTCACAGGTACACTGATGGGCTGGCGACAGGTATGCTGATGGGCTGGCAACAGGTACACTGATGGGCTGGCGACAGGTATGCTGATGGGCTGGCGACAGGTACACTGATGGGCTGGCGACAGGTATGCTGATGGACTGGTGACAGATATGCTGATGGCCTGGCAACAGGTACACTGATGGGCAGCTGTGACAGGCAATCATGGCAGTGTGGTGCACAGTACTGAATGTAATAACTCACTGTTTCCCCAGGATCCGTGTGTGAGGAGAAGTGGTAACAGCAAATTACCGTTGTTTTTTTACATTTGTGCTTGGTTGTGATAGGACACAGCTGTTCACCTGGTAAACAGCCAATTTCATTGTTTACCTACATCAGGGAAGCGTTGTGTCCATGGGACACAGCAGACGGGTGATCAGTGCACTCCATGCCTCCAGGAGCGAGCTAGAGGGGTGTTACCAGTAGGACATCATATAATGCCATCCAGGAGGGATGAGAGGCCTGCCAGGCCATCACTTTACCACAGGCCAGGCGGGAACAGGTTAATTGAGGTATTTCCCTCTTTTCTTATTATAACTTTTAACTTGGACTGATTACAGCTCACCAGGCAGTTGTTGCTGACAGTCTATTCAGGAGCTGCCATCATTAGAAAAAAACATGTTAAAACCCTTTCCATCAAAAACACTGTACACATTCTTCTAAGATCTAGAGCAATCCCCTACTGTACCCCCCCATACACCCAAAAACGTGTTTTGCCTTTTCTTAGCTTAACATACGTTATATAAAATAAATTATAGAGGATAAAGGACATTGCCAGTGGCTCAGCTCTTCTGGTCTGATGTTCTCTGTGGTTCTTCTACATTAATGAGAAATCCCCCCCACTATGGATTATGTTCTTCTCTGTGCCACCTGGCCTCCTCATTGTGCAATTCAAATTTGTGGTTTATATTTTTATTGTCTCTAAACAGATGATTGGGAAAGCATGGACAACTTCCACCCTTTCTATATCTGATACCTAATCCAGAATCACACAGACTATGTTGCATGAGAAATCAGTGGCCAAGATATTATTATACAAGATTATTGTAAAAGATTTATACAGTTTATGCAGCACTTTACAACATAAGGGCAGACAGTACAATTACAATAAAAATGAATGCAGGAAGAATCAGAGGGTCCTGCTATTTCAAGCTTAGAATCTAATATGGAGGTTCAAAAAATACAAAAGGTAATAACTGTGTGGGGATGGGCTGATTGAGAAAATAATTGTACAGTTGTTAGGTGATAGGCCTCTCTGAAGAGATGAGTTTTTAGGAATTGTCTAAAAGTGGACAGAGTAGAAGATAGTCAGACACATTGGGGAAGGAATTTCCAGAGGATGCAAGCGGCTCTGGAGAAGTCCTGGAGGCATGCATGGGAAGAGGTGACAAGGGAGCTAAAGAGCAGGAGGCTTTGGGAGGAACAAAGAGAATGCTTTGGTTGGTATTTTGAGGCAAGGTTAGTGATATAGCTGGGGGCTGAGTTTTGGATGGCTTTATAAGTTGCTGTTAGTATTTTGAATTTAATTTGTTGGGTGAGCAGAAGCCAATGGAGAGATTGGCAGAGAGGGGTGTCAGACAATGAGCGGTTGATAAGGGGAATGAGCATGGTAGCAGAATTCATGATGGACCGAAGGGAGGATAGCCTATGTAAAGGTAAGCCAATGAGGAGAGAGTTGCTGTAGTTGAGGCGGGAGATGACGAGAGAGTAATTTAGAAAGTTTTGTGGTCTCATTGGTTAGGAAGGGGCATATCTTGGAGATGTTGCAGAGGCTGAGGCAGCAAGCTTTGGACAGTGATTGGATGTGGGGTCAAAAGGATAGTTCAGAGTCCAGGAGTATACTGAGAACCTTGGCATGAGGGGATGGGTTGATGGCTGAGCCATTGATTTTGAGAAGTCAGGGAAGGGGAACGTAGGGGAGGAAGTATTAGGAGCTCGGTTTTGGATAGATTGATTTTCAGGAAGTGGTATGACATCAAGGCTTATATGCAAACGTACATATTCGCCAGCACACCACAGATCTCAATATGGTCCAAAAAGGTTTTCATTTCAAAAAGATCACAAGACTAATGAAGGGGTTCTGTGTGGCTCTAAAAAATTGCAAGAAATTGTTTTGGAATAAAAACCTTTTTGGACCATATTGAGATATGTGGTGTGCTGGTGAATACATATGTTTACTTATGATGTTTCTAGTCTCAGCTGGTAGTCACTACAGCACCCTATTGATGAGCCATACTTATAGGAATGTGTATGAAGGGTTTAAAGTTATATATCCAGGCTGATATGTCTGTTAGTAGATTAGTGATTCCTGTGGAGACTGATTGAGTAGTCCACTGTGTCACAGGCAGCAGATAGGTCAAGGAGTAGGAGTACAGAATAGTGTCCATTGGTTTTAGCCGTTAGTAGAAGGTTTGTGAGGGTGAAATCCGGACTGAAGGGGATCAAGAAGGTTATTCTCAGTGATCTGACACAATGCAAAAATGCTCCACTATGTTGTACCCATGGTTCACACACTTCTCCCATTTGGAGCTGACGTGGTCCTTCTGGGTCTTTAGGCCTGGATTGACTGCTGTCTCTTTTGCTAATCCTCTTTTTTGCCTCTGCATACTGCTCCACCCTTCTCTTTTCTTTTTTCTTCTCCCCCTCCCCCAGAACCTTATCAATCTAACTGAATGGAACTAGAGCATTCAGCCAACAAGTTATAACTTGTTTTTTTTCTGTCTCAATAATCCTAATAGTAGAGACTTGTATTATTGTCAATCATTGAACCATTTTCCAGTTGATCGAATTGTATCTTTATATGGCCATAAACCTCAGAAGCTCTGTTTGTTACATTTGTTGTACTTTAGGATGTTTGTAACAAAATGCAAAAAAAGTATTAAAAAAACTAATGAATTTAAATAAAATTAAAAAAAAAGAAAGAAAGAAAGAAAGAAAGAAAGAAAGATGTTTCTTATGTAAATAAAATTAATGCCAAGAAAATAACTATAAGCACTGCAGACTCCCAATGTTTCCATGCAATTAATTCTAGTTATTTTTTAAATCATCAAGAGATAATTTCCCTATGTAGTAAATATAATGAATCCCAAGAAAATAATATTATGTACTTCATACTCCAGCTGTTTCCTTGTAATTAATTCTAGTTATTTATAAAAGCAGAAGTACTACTCACTGAAAAACAATTAACATTCACTAGACATCTTCGGAGGCATTGATTTTTTTTTTTGATTATTACATACTGTAAGTAACTCGGTACTTTGTCTTCATAGGTATATTTTAAAATAATTCTTCAACAATTGTAAAAAATTAAATCATCGATGAAAAGAGTACATAGCTACCTTGAAATTAAAGCATTGGAAGCACTATTTTGCCTTTATCATTCACTTTCTCAGTAGTACACATATTTCTATAATATTTTGATTTTTCACTAATAGCATTGGGAATTCTTTTATTCTCTCTGAACTATCACGATGGAATGTTATTTTTGCTTTTGTTTGAAGATGATCAGCATGAAGTAACTCATATAAAACATTTCAAATGCAATTAAAGCTGAACTCAAATCATTTACTGAAATAGACAAAGCTGATTTGTAAAATTGTAATCTTCTTCCTTCAGCTGATGGATCAGAGAAATGTGACCAGAATTACCACAATCCACCTCGTAGGACTTCAGATTCCTCAAAGTATTACAGTTTTGGTGTTTTTTCTTTTCCTTATACTTTATTGTGTGACAATATGTGGAAACCTCCTGATCATCACATTGGTGTCCTACAGCAATTCCCTCCATTCCCCCATGTACTTCTTCCTCTCTCAGCTTTCTGCATTGGATCTCATGCTGTCAACTGATATTCTTCCTAACATGATCAGCACTGTTTTGGTAAACAAGACAACAATGTCATTTTCTGGTTGTCTAGCTCAGTTTTCTTTCTGTGCTATCACAGGATGTTCAGAGTGTCTTCTTTTGACAGCGATGAGTTGGGACAGATATTTGGCCATCTGTAGACCATTGCATTATACCTTGAAAATGAACTATCAGGTTTGCTGGATGCTGGTTGTCCTATGCTGGATTTCAGGGATTTTTGTAGTGTTGATTAATAATTTATCCATATCAAAATTAGAATTTTGTGGTCCCAATGTCATTGATCACTTTTTCTGTGACCTTGATCCAATCATGCAACTCTCCTGCTCTGACACCACCATTGCTCATTTAGAAATGACAATTATGGGTGCTATTATTCTCATTTTCCCATTTTTCACCATCTTTGTGTCCTATTCTTATATTATAGTCACCATTTTAAAAATCCCGTCTATTACTGATAGACAGAAAGTTTTCTCAACATGCAGCTCCCACCTGACTGTTGTGTCCATGTTTTATGGTACCCTAGTTTGTGTTTATTTGACACCTAGGAGAGGACAGACACAGACCCTAAATAAGCTCTTATCATTACTGTACACTGTTATCACTCCAATGATGAATCCAATTATATACAGCCTGAGGAACAAAGATCTGAAAAAAGCTGCTAGAAGATTGATCAACCACCTTTCCAGGATTTGTTTTAGTAAAGATTAAAATGTGTATAAATGTAATTTTATACACATTTTTATACAAGTTTGAGGAATTATTTATCAGTGCCAGACAATTCTATAAATTAATGAACTTTCTTCTGCATGAGGGATCTGAGGAGAGAAGCATCAAAAGCTGACCATGTACGGAATGAAATTCATCTGGTTAAATAGGGACCAGCCAAATTTCAATCCATGTATGGGCAGCCTAGTTTTACAGAAGTCGATCTACCCATTGACTTCTTTACAAGCAGCCTGTCAGGTCTATCCTAATGAATCAGTGCCAGCAGCTTTATCAGGCAGCACTGACCAGTGTACTCTGACAGCAGGAAAGATTCCCTGTTGTCAGAATGCAATACGTCAGTGGGAGTGATTTCCCCATCCACATCTAATGTGCCCATATGGAAGAAAAATATTTGAAAATTGTAAAAATATTCTTCCCAAATATATTGACATATATTTGAAATACAATTTTACATTTTTGAAATACAATTGTGTCCATATATGTACTGTGTGTTGAAATGTACTTTTATTACAAAATATATGAAAAATATTTTTAAAAATATGTTTCAAATATACTGTATGTCTTTAAAGATACAAATCTACATTTTTGGAATGCATTTACAAATATATGTAAAAATATGTTAAAATTACTTTTTTTATATGTTAAAAATAATTTTCATATATTTTGTAATATATAAAAAACATGCAGTATATAGATCTTTAGAACTCTTTTTTAAAGTTGCATTTTCTGAAGACACAGGTACATTGGCAGGTAAAACAGGTCAAGCCATGCCAAAGCAAGGGGCTCATCTGTAAGTGCCACTTTCATTTGAAAAGTCACCACATGTGACAATGAAGTGCATTGTGGCAATAGTTGGATTCCTGTGGCAGCATTCACCCTTTCCATTTGCTTGTAGCTCTTTCTTGATCCTTTAACTTCTACAACTCAGAAGGCAATCTGCCAACAGACTGGATATGGAGTCTTTCTTCTATTTTTCTCTCATTGTACAACCTTTATGCAACTTATTGTATATAAGCGATCAGCCATTGAACTTTTTAACAGTGAAAATATATAGTCATATATAGTTTACTTGTTTAAGGTGGTAACATATCTATAGGCATTTATTTTTCTAGAATTTTCCAATTAATGGCTAACAGCTGGTTACTATAGAACTGGCTGTGGTACCTGTAGAACATATCATTGTGATGTATACATGGCTTTATAGGACCAATACCACTTTAAAGATTGGTATACTTTGTTATTATTATTATTATTATTATTATGATTATACAGGATTTATATAGCATCAACAGTTTGTACAGTGCTTTACAATGTGAGGGTAAATAGTACAGTTACAATACAATTCAATACAGCAGGAATCAGAGGACCCTGCTTATTACAGCTTACAATCTAAAAGGTTAGGGTCAAGTGATACAAAAGGTAATAACTGTGGGATGAGCTGATGAAAAAATACATGTACAGTTGTTAGGTGGAGGCACTTTTCTCTGTAGAGAAAAGTGTTCAGGGATCACCTAAAAGTGGACAGAGTAGGAGATTGGGGTAGGGAATTCCATTGGATGGGAGAGGCTCAGGAGAAGTCCTGGAGTGAGGCATTGGAAGAGATGACAAGGGAACTAGAAAGCAGGAGATCTCCAAAGGAATAAATAAAGAGATTTGGTTGGTATTTCAAGGCTAGGTTAGTGATGTAGGTGGGGGCTGAGTTGTGGATGGCTTTCTAAGTTGTTGTTAGTATTTTGAATTTAATTTGTTGGGCAGGTGGCAGCCAATGCAGGGACTGGCAGACAGGGTTGGTGGATGAGCCTAGCAGCAGCATTCATGATGGACTGGAGGTGGGATAGCCCATGTAAAGGTAAGCCAATGAGAAGAGAATTGCAGTAGTAGAGGCAAGAGATAACTAGGAGTGAATTGGGAGCTTTGTGATATCTTTGACAAGGATAGTTCAGAGTCCAGGATTAAACCTAGTGCCTAGAATTGTGGGGATGGGTTGATGGTTGAGCCTTTGAGTTTGACAGAAAAGTCAGCGGAAGGGGCAAATAGGGGAGGATATATTATGAGCTTGGGTTTGGATAGATTGATTTTCAAGAAGTGTTGTGACTTCAAGGCTGATTTATCTGTTAGTAGATTAGTGATGTGTGAGGAGACTGATGTTGTGAGCTGAACTGTAGAGAGATACATTTGGGTGTCGTCAGGGTAGAAGTGATACTGAAAGTCATAGGAGGCTTTCAGCTGACCCAGGGAGGTGATGTAGATGGAGAATAGGAGAGGACCAAGAACAGAACCTTTGGGGACCCCAAGGGAGAAAGGAAGAGGAGAGGAAGAAGTAGAATTGTAAGTGACACTGAAGGTGCAGTGGGATAGGTAGGATGAGAACCAATGAAGAGCACAGTTACAGAGATCAAGGGATTAAAGCAGGAGGGGTGGTCAACTGGATCAAAGGCAGCCAAAAGGTCCAGAAGTAGGAATACAGAATAGTGTCCATTGGTTTTAGCTGTTAGAAAATCGTTTGTGAGCCTCAGGAGAGCAGTTTCTGTGGAGTGTTGAGGGTGAAATTCAGACTGAAGGGGATCAAGACAGTTATTCTCAATGAGGTGGTTGTTCAAGAGGTTTGGAGGAAAAGGGGAGAAAGGATATGGGGTGTAGGTTGTTAAGATCGGTGGGGTCCAAGGAAGGCTTTTTAAGTATGGGGGTGACTAGTGCATGTTTTAGAGTGTTGGGAAAGGTACCTGAAGAGAGGGAGAGATTGAAGATGTGAGTTAGAGAGTGTAGGGTAGAGTCAGAGGGTGACCACAGTATTTGGAAGGGAAAAGGGTCCAGGTGGTTAGGTTGCCGCTAGAAAAAAGTTTAGCAACCTTGTCTATAGTATCAGGGTTGAAGTTAAGGGAAGTGCTGAGTGTACCTATGGACACTGGGTGTTAAGTGGGGGAGTTATCTGTAGAGTGGAGATTTCATCACAAATTGTATCAATCTTATTTTTGAAGTGATTGGTGATCTCCTGGGCAGTGCGTGAGTTAGTGGGTGGAGGCAGTAGAGGACGAAGTAGAGAGTTAAAGGTAGAGAAGAGTTGACAGGGACTGGATGAGAAGGTGTTAATGAGAGAGATAAAGTAGTTCCGCTTGGCAGTGTGGAGGAAAGAAATGTATTTTTGGAGAGCAGTTTTATAATGTTTGAATCTTTCTGAGGCTTAGTCTTACTCCAAAGGTGCTCAGTAGTGCAGCTGCGTTTTTTGAGACTTTTGGTGTTGTATGTTTGCCAGGATTGTGGGGGTCAGGGCCTGATTCTGCATGTAGTGAGAGAGGTGAGTGCATCCAGGGCAGAGGACAGGGATCTATTGTAGACAGAAGTGGCTAGATTGGGGCAGAACAGGTGTGAGATTTACTGTCATAAAAGTGGTCAGTAGCAGAGTGAAGAAAAGAAGGGCTAAAGTGGTGAAAGTCTCTATGGGTCAGGTGGTTGGAGAGAGAGGTGGTGTCAGAACTTTAACTTTGAGAAAATAATCAGTATATAATTTATGAAAACAGGCAAGGAACTGGAATTAGGGAGATTCCCTACTAATTTTCATAAATGATAAACTGAATTCTTTATTTCTGCTCATTTAAAGATGAAATAAAAAGCAATAATGTACAAAGATATATATTTATTAACAAATAGAAATCAGTGCAAAATGGTAATGAAATCTAATAGGTGATGATAAATAATAAACTAATCAAAATAGCAGTACAATGATCTAATCCAAAATAATGGTTAGAAATTCAACCAGCAACTATTTTAACATTTTAATGAATTGGAATCAGCTGTCTAGAAATGCAGTGTAGGAAACTATCAGTAACTCAGCAACATGTGACAACAGCTATGCAAATTGACCGCATGATCTCTCTACAAACAGACATTCAAAGCTCAACGTATACCTTGGTATGAATTGATGAATTGATATACCCAGCTAAACCATTGACTAAAAGCTAAAATTAGCTTTTTGGGGATATTTCAAATAAAAATCTTTCCCACAGAGAATTGCATTGAAATTAATTTATACTGCAGTTAAAATGACTTCACATCAACTCATGTGCTAACCATAACCGGTATCAGACTAAACAGTTTAGCTGGAGATATAAGCAAATACCAGATAAAGAATAAACAGGTGGTGCACACACCTAGTGCATTATCCAAGGATTATTCAAAGGCATAAAAGACAAAAACATACTCACAGATGAAGCATGGATAAAAAACTTTTGCATTAAGAAGATGGCCACAACGACAAGCAAGATGTTCTAACTGTCAGTGCGTCAAATGGCTGACGAGTTTCGGGGACGAGTCCCTTTCCTCAGAGCAGCTGACCAGCCTCCTCCATCACCAGATCCCACACGTCTCCTCTCTACTAGCAGGAGTGTCTGGACAGGAAGTGATGTCAGGTTCAGACAGGAAGTGATGTCAGGTATAGACAGGACATTCCATGAATTAGGAAGTAGAGAGGAGACGTTGTTGGATCTGATGACAGAGGAGGTGTGTGCGCCACCTGTTTATTCTTTATCTGGTGGCTGATCTCCCCCGTTCTGAGGAGGGCTGCACCCCTGAAGCATCTTCTTTTGGTTATCTCTGTCCTGGTCCAATTGGCTTCCCTTTGGTTGTCCATTTCCTGAAGCGCTGGAGAGTTACATATGATAAGCAAAAAACAATTTAGCTGAAAAAAAAATAAAAGTTTATAGTTACAATATGGACTCTATGGTGTCAGTGTCCATGTGTCTGTGTTGGGGTCCTTCTGTTGTCCCTTGTCTCCTGTCTTGTCTCGTGTCGATTCGCGTCGAATCCGAAAATAGCAGACTTCGGATGCGCGAATCGAAATTTTTTCCTAAATGGCTGGGCGACATGTGCGGCGACGGAGCGGTGGGATGTCTCGGCGATGGGCGCGCAAGACAAGGCGCGCTGACCCATAATGCATTCATTTCATGACGTGTGATCGCATTAGCCAATCAGCAGAAAGCCCAGCC